TGGGAAATTTCAAAAATTTCAAAAAATTTCGTATATCTTATTAATTACATTCGAATTATTCAAATTATCCTGTTGTGAGACACGTTACATGATACGCTAACCGATTTATAAAAATTTCGAATTTATCAAAAAAATTCAAAATTTCAAAAAATTATTCCATCCCTATACAAAATATTCAAATTACCCGCCTACGAGGCACGCCGCATACCTCATCAATGGGAAACGCTGATCTACGCGGCTAATAGGCAAACGAGGAAGATCAATTTGCATCGGAGGAGGTAATCGAGACCGAAGAAGAAATCGAGCGTAGGAAGAGAAGGCGGAGAATCACTCGTAGCAAGGTTGTGTCGCTGATTCATTAATTTACCGGTGCCTAGAGGAAGGAGCGGGGAGCGGCGCAAAAACCGTTGCAACAAGACGGAAAGGCGGGTGCAGGAAGCTGCTCTGTAATTGACGATTCTTCATAACGGAATCCCTTCCCTTTTATTCGCGCGAAGAACGGCAGGAATTGCTGCTCGATGATGAGTCTATCTTCTTTTCTTTTCCTTCCTCTTCTTCCCCTTCTCCTTTTTTGATGTTGTTCTTCTTCTTCTTCTTATTACTCTGAACGTGATCGTGTCGAGTCCTCCTCGAGAATTTTTCCGCGTGAAATTTCTTCGATCGTAATTTCAATGAACCGTTCGATCGAACGAAACCGTCTGGACTCGAGATTCCGTTTTGCTTTTATAAAAATGAAATTTGTACGTCGAAGATAATTTCCATGAGAAGATAATTTATGCGATTCGTGGATTTCGAAATATCGAGTTTTGAATTTATCTTTATTTTTTTCCATTATTCACGAAAGACTAGTTATTCTTCAATATCGTAGTTAATATTTAAACTGTAATTTAACCTGTATTGAAACGTGACGAATTTTTCACATTTCAAAGTTTCGAGTGATAATCCGTCGATAATCACAATTTATAGGTTAGGTTAGTTTAAAGTAGTCGTGCAGTCGACCGGTTCGATTTTGATAAAATGGCGAAAAGAAAATGAATAGTGTGTAATTCGAGATTGTTAATGGGAATCTTTGAAGGATGACCTCGGGCTATTTGGTTCAATGGCGGTTGATTCAATCCTCGAGCAGCGAGGCTGAACGACTCCTATTTAGCGGGACTTAATCGAGCCACTACCAAATTAAAAGAAACCTCTACGTCTCGAGATCTCTGCAGGACCAATTGAACCTTTCGTACTCTTCTTTTTGTGATAGATTAGATGATTGGAAATCGACGATGATTGTTGTTATCTCGAAAGAGATAGACGAAGACGGATATTACATCGATTTTTTAACAATTTCCATTAACATAGAGAACGCACTATTTCCGCATAATATAAAATTAAAAATTTAATCGAATTTGAATTTTTAAAATCTATATATTCTTCAGAATTTTCTATCGTGAAAATTGAAGTGAATTCTGCTAACATATTTTTGAAAAGGAAAATTATATTCGTGATTACCGTAATTATCGTTGTATATATAGCAAACATTGTAATTATTGAAGCCTTGAAAAAAAAAAATTATTAATAAGACTGTCTAGAAATCTATTTCGCAAAAAACCAGAAATAGAAAACCTGTAATTCAACCCCGTTGAATAAATTAGCTTGCAAAGTGTATTGGAGAAGGTATGTAAATCGCAATAAATATCTTCTCAAGGAAAACTTGCACATTGACGCGGAAGAAATTCGAAAATGGCGAAACTTGTAGGTAACAAAGAAACCTGCATGTTCGGCTGATATATATCTCGAGAAAAATTACTAAGCAAACTCGAGATAATATTTTTCCCAGGAATAGGAATGAAAAAACTGCACGTTCCATCGAGATGTCCGCCGCGCCCTGTACAAATAAATTGCTGGAACTCGACATCTCTTTTCCTCTCGTTCTTATTTCACCGCTCGGCCTCACTCTCGAGAAGGAGATCGAATTGAATGGCCATTGCTGGCAGTCGCACCTTGCGGCAACGAGGAGGGACGTGTACGTACGGTCGATTAAGTCGATTGGATAAAGACCGAGAGAGAGCAAAACCAGTGATCTCGTTCCACGCGGTGGCCCCGATGTATCTATAACCGTGTTCCACGGTCATAGGCGCGAGTATTGCTACAAATGAGAGTTTGAGGCGTCACTGACTCGCCGTGCAACTCTTGTCTCGCTCTCTCGGCTCTGCATTCCTTTCTAAGTCTGTCCTCTCCGTTTGTTGTCGCTTATTGAGTCTGATTCGAGAATCGTCTCGATTATATTCATTTTTCTTTCTTTCTAACATCGATAACATTAATCTTTAACGATCGAAAAAAATTTTTTTTAGGTTAGATTTACATTGTGATCGACCATTTCATATCGGTGCAAAGTTTTCGATAAATTTTTATATTTTGTTTATGGTTATCATAGTTTGGTTTGTATTATATCTGATATTTTTGACATTAATGTGATTGTGAGATTCGAATTACAAGTTTTTGATGAATTCACTTGGTTTAATCATGGCCACAATGATATGAAGAATAATAACGAAGTTTATTTTTTTTAGAGTTGGAAAATTTCATCAAAGTTGAATGTAATTATTTATTGAAAAAAGTAAATTTCATAGCGCGAGAAGGAGATCTCGTAGCACGACAAACGACGTGGAAAGTCCAACGAGACAGCAGTTGGCACACAGTCCGGCTCTCGATTCATGCGACGTCACGTGTCGCATCCGAAGATACACGCTTTCTTTGTGTGGCATTAACGTATTCCGACTTGGACACTGCATCGGAAACACCGTTCTAAATTGGTTTCAAAAGTTCGAACCGTGTATCCCCATGAGAAAGTCTACCATCTTACATGATTGCATAATCAACGCAACAAAAAAAAAATTACAAAAAAACAAGCGGAATAAGAATAATTTACAAATTAGAAATACAGTCAGGAAATCGTAAAAAGATAGAGAAAGCGGGGCGCCATTAAATCACAGGTAAACGAATCATATTTCATTCTCCAATTTCTTTTGAAATTCGCTGTGTCTGTTAAAAAAAAAGAAAAAAATGATCGATCGAATCAACCAGAGAATTAACGAATCGTATTTTACGTTTCGATTCATGCTTCAAATCCACGGTTTTATCTACGAAAAGATAAAATGGAATGGAAAGCGAGAGTCCAAAATGGAAATGGAAAGAAACGAAGGAAAGGAATAAAAATGGAAGGCCAGCCGATTATTGGTGGATGAAAATGGCGGAAGAGGAAAGAAACAAGGAAAATCAAGCTATTAATATACGCGGGGACCGACCAGGCAACATTCTAAGCAAGCAGAGAAACACGCGTTGTTTCGCGCGGTTGCTCGCCAAGCAGAACGAAGAATTTTAACGCTCCTCCTTTTCCCGCACCTGCTGCTCAGGCATTCAGCCAGGGACACGCAATTACCGGTGTTTTTCTCCCGCGAAACGATTAATAACGCGGCCCGCGACACGCTCTACAATTATGGCGCCGGGTACGTAAGTGCCCTCGAGGATCGGGTCTTGTTTCGAATAATCGAGCTTGGTTATGGATCGACGCCTTCCTGATCGATAACCAAATTGTCCCTGTAATCGTGTTGAATAATTCAGTTGAACTTTCTCTCTTATGAATAGATTTTTAATCGAATAAACCAATAAAGATATTTTGTTATCTAAATGGTTAAAATAATAAAGGTAAGTTCCAATGATTAATTTTGATGTTTCTTTCGTTCATTGGTATTAATTCATGATAATGATAATTACATATTTTTCAACAGAGATAAATATCTTTTGACTCGATCAATGTATTATGCATTGTTTTATCTAAATGGTTAAACCAATAAAGGTACGTTTCCAATGGTTAATTTTGATGTTTCCCTCCTTCTTTGTCATTGGTATTACTTCATACAATGATAATTGCAATGGCATAGATAAATATCTTTTGATTCGATCAAAATTGTTTCTTTTTTAACGCTACTACTTTTCTTATTTGAATAGTTAGTTGGCTAGTTTCACACAATTGATCCAACCAATTACTCCACTAACAACAATCAGAATCACGTTCACCAAATAACCAATTCCAACTCGAACGATCACTACACCAAACCGACCTTACTACCGCTAAATAAAATACACAGACGATACCACAGACTCTCAATGAATCACCTCCCATTGTTCCTCAATCTCGGCCATCGTCAAACCGCAATAATCTCCATGAGACATTCAACTTCTACTTAAAACAATCGCCTCTCGTCGTTTCTGTCCTTTGCCAGTCAATTAGATTAATTCAATTAGTTCAGTTGGAAGGAGCGAACGTTTATGCATTATTCCAGACATAAAATACCAGAATGTTTCTAAGGATCTCTAGATTTCGAAATAGATTTATATTTAGATTTAAAAAAAGTATTCAATATTCCGAATTTTCAATATATGATTTTTTACTTTATAATTAAAATAAAATAACAAATACATCGATCAAAAATTAACATTTGATTTTATAGTAACCAATTATTATAATTCTTTAATAAATTCTTTTAATAAAAAAAATCCTAAACTATGGTATCCAATGAATAAGCGTCTATCGACAAAAGATTAATCGCCGTGGTATAGAACGAAGAGTTAATAATAGACGCCGCTTTTCTCGGTGTTCATCAGTCGGCATAACACGCATGTCGTTACGTGTTTACGATCACGAAGCAAAGTGCGAACCTATCGCAACCTTCGACCCGCTGTTTCAGATTTCTTGCTAGCCGCGTGCCGCAGGAGCCGTTTCAAAGCGTTGCGCAATATCCTCTCCACTTCGTTTGCTCTTCTCGCCTCGTAATATTTTCCTCGTGGATCAAAAATCCATCTTCGTTCCTCCAATCTAATTGCTTTAATCTTTATATATCTCCTATAATTTTTTTACTTTTTTATTCGTATGAATGATAATTTTCGTAATTTGAACCGATTATTTTCAATTTTTTTCATAGATATAATTTTCTTGTGATGAATTAAAAAAAAATGATTAAAATTGCATTTTTATATCTTCAACATAGAAATTCAATTCACCATAAACCGTGTATTGTTAAGTTTGACGATCTACAACTTGGCTCACTGTAACATTGTACGCTAGTAGGCACGTCGTACCTACCGGCTGTCTAACTTTAAACTTTTCCAAGTCGAAAATAAACCGGCGCGGCTTTTGCCTGGCGTAGAATCGCGCTCGCGAGCGACACGACTCTTCCTCTTCTCTTGGTGGGCGTAAATTTGTCGAAGGAATGCGCATAAAATTACGCTATCTTCTTTCCCGCGCGTCCAACCGAGAGTTTCCTCTCCACGGTCCAGCTAGGGATCCTTGACAGATCAGCTCGACTAATAAGCCAGGTGTCATATTCCTGCAACGTTGATAAATGTTAATTAAATGAAGAATTAATCATTGAAAATATGATGGGAATCAAGCTCTAAGCGTGTAGATTTTATAGAATTCTCGTAAAATTTCCCTAGGATCTAGGGACATTATGTTAAAATTTCACACTCCTCCATATTTCAATTCTACTCGACCATTGCTAAGGTTCTAAAATCGGAATAGTCCTTGGGAACGCCCATTCGTCGAGGAAATAAACTCACGAGTCTCCAGAAGATCGAGGAGAATGATGAAGTTGGCATTGTCCAACGTAGCTATTTTTGCCCGTTCCCCATGCAAAATTACCGTGAGAAGGACCATTCTCCATAACTATCGATCGAAGGAAAATATTGACGCCATGCTTGCCTCGTATGCATTATTCAAAGTTGAAATTCTCATTTAAACGTCCTCGGCTCAAAATTCACAGTCACTTTTATAACGTGTTCTTCGTTTTGAAATAACCAATCTATTCATCGTTTTTTGTTGAAACATTTTTCTTGAAAAATGTTTCTTTCCTCAAATTTGTCAATTTGCAAGTATTCTCTAACCTATAAATATATTTCATGAAGAAAAAAATTTTGAAAAAAAAAATATTAATATAAAGAATAAAAAAATAGAAATAGATTTAAAAAAAATGAAGAAAAATTTCGAGAAAGGTTACAAAAATAGAGACGAGTATTTTATCTTCTTCTTAAATTTTTGCGTTGCAAAAAATATCATTCTTAGCCCATAATTAACTTAGAATTTCGTCCCATTAAATACCGTTTTTCACATGGAAAGAGACTTAGCGCGCCGCATAACGATGACCAACCGAGATAAAAGGTTAATCGAGAGCCTCGTTATCGATGGATCTCGCTCCCATGCGTATGCACGTTTATGCATACATACTTGAAACGGCCATGTGCAATCACCAATACGTAAGAAGGACACGTGTGTAAGTGTATATGAAGACACGAGGTCGAGGGCCAACCTACATATTCATTGAGACACTTGCTTCCGCCCATCCGGCAAATACGTTTCTTACTTTTAAATTACATTTAATGGCGGCGCGACGTGTTTTTTCGTTTTCCTTCGGCATTCGATTAGCCACGAACCGAAACAACGATAGAGGTGATTTCCTTCGGGACCTTCGACTAACCGTGGTTTCCTGTCAAACGTATCCAACGTTTCATCGGGGAGTATAGACGTTCGTTACTCGATAACCTTTGATACCTTCGGTGGGGAGAATTATCGGATTAAACTTGCGTCTATTTCGATCGAGTTCACCGCATTGGATTGTTCATTTCGATCATTCTAGATTCTTGGTTTGAGTTTAGGTTAGGACGATAGTGGAGTTATGACAATCGATATCGATAAATATCGATAATATCAATAATAAATCGAATTGCGTCTTTCTATCGAGTTCATGTGTTGGATCGTTCATTTGATCGTTCTAGATTCTTGGTTTAGATTTAGGTTAGGACGACAGTGATAAAGAATTAAAATTGACAATTGATATTGTTATCGTTAAATATCGATAATATCGTTGAGATGAATCAACAATGAAATATAGAAAATGAAAATAATTGAAATTATAAATTTTGTTTATTCAAAATTGTTATAAAATGTTATTAACGATATTTCATTAAATATTTTATTAAAAAAATAAATAATATAGAATAAAATAAAAATGGCTGAAATAGACTACAACAAGTTCTTTAATAATATATTTGTGTCTTAATAATATAATATTACCGATATATCAAAAACGATATATTAATAAATTATCCACAATATATCGATAATCGATAGTCACGACTCTAAGTTGAATATAATAGAATATAATAGTTCGTTCAAATGCGATAAAAGTTTGTTTAGATTTGAAATAATTTATGCATAAAATAATATTGTAGTAGATTTAATAATATTTAAATTTAGTTATTTGTAATTAGATTACATTTATACGTTTTAAATTCTTGTTTTAACTTTAAATTAAGATGATTGTGATAGTGAAATGATATATATATTTATATTATAATATTGTTCACTCATATTCAATAGAAGTTTATTTAAATTCGGCATTTAGAATAATATTGTAAAATAGATGCTAGAATTATTTTTATTAGACTTAGATTTATTTATTGAAGTTGGGTTATGTCAGAGCTATTGTTGCATGTCGTCGAGTTAAAATTAAATAAATCGGTAACTTATGATTATTGAAATATAAACCTAAGATCATTATAACTCAGATCGTTTAGGATAATCGCAATTTAGATCTAGTATAATTTACATTCATTGCTACCTGGATTCTTTTAATAGTGGTCATTCTGAACGTAATTGTAGTCTAGATTCAGGATAGTCAAGAGTCATTATAACTTGGATCTAACAATAAGATGATTCAAGATCGTTACAATGTAGACTTAGAATAATTTACAGTTGTTGTTAGAACCAGGCCAGTCAAAGGTGATCATAATTTAGTCCTAACTATAAAATATAACTTGGATCAGTTACAACGTAGATCCTGAATAATTTAAAATCATGGCAATCTAGAACAATCTTGGACAATTTAACGTCAGTGTGACTTATATTTACTATAACTTAGAATTATTGAATTATAGATCCACGATAAATTCGAATTATGACTTAGATCGAGGATATCTATAACCTTTGAGTTTATCCCATATTTTGGTCTTTGACTAACGATTTCTATTTTCTAACGAAGCATAGTCCAATGAAAATGGTGGTTGAATCGATCCTCCTACCACACTACTTATTAAAATCATATCAATCTGTAACTACGTCAGCGAGCAGATTCCGTGAACGAGCAATCATCGTTCTGGCATAGCAACCGGCCCCGCATTCAAGGATTCGATGTCGCGAGGCGGTCATATATGTGAATCAGGTTTATAAATATATCCGTCGGAACGAGCGAAGACTCCGTTGGATCTTGAAACCGATTCGCGGAGAGGTTATCGATCCATTGCGATGGGGGTGTCACGGTTCGCCGCGAAACACCGCGTAAACACTCTATCTTTCTTCGCAACCCGGTATTAACGGCCTGATAAAACGTGGAAAGCTTTACCAATCGTCGCCCCATAGTGGGGGCAAAAAACGAGAGAATCGTCGAAACTTGATTCCAATATTTCATTCTTTTTCGTATTTTTGTTTAATAATTAATATAATTCTTAATTTATCGATATTATTTTTATTATGAATCTTATATGGTAGATTCTATTGTTTGGTGCATACGAACGACTTTTCTTGTTTTTAATTGGAGAAACAAGAGAAAACATGTGCGCTGAAAAATTATGCTCATGCGCATTGAATCTGAGTCTGTATATTTATGGTTAGTATTTACCATGCAAGTTTCACGGTATATTGTGTGAAATAGTAAATATTTCTTCTATCATGGAAACGAGGATTATAGTAGTAGAATATAATAAAAATTGTCTACATGGAAATTTATTTAGGTTTGATATGATTTAAACATAAAATAATATTGTAGAATAAATTTAATTATCTTTAGTTAAATAGTTAGGTTAGTTTTAAGATTTTGTTCCTTAAGTCATATTTTTATTCAATTCCAGGTAATGATTTCATTTTATCAAATCATTTTCAAGAAATTCTATAAAATCGTCTCTCAATCAATGAAATCAAATCGAATAAGTAATTGGAAGAAATCAGGTTATCATTATCTACATTATATCAAACTTAAATAATCTATTTGATATATTCATTCTTGAATTTCTTGATCTATTCCTTTTCATTCTCGATGATTCAATTTTCGAGAATATTTGAAAAAATCATATTATGCTTATATTTCTCAAATGACTAAAATAGACCAATGCATATAGAAATTCAAGTATCTTGTAATTGTAACTAATTGTGGTACCTACTCGTTAGTAGACTATAGATTTACATAAAACTTTTTACTAGAGAAACGAGTCTGATAAATGATGTATGGTCTTGTGTTAATCGATACTCACGAAGCAATAGTGCAACAGGTTTTAGAAGATTGTTGTTGATTTATGTACTGACTTGCGTACGTTCGATTTGCGACGATGTGTCGGGTGACTATCGTGCAAGAAATTAATTTGCATTTTCCTTTGCATTTAGATCTTTCATATTTTAATCAGATACAGATTGTATTACAGAAAATTTGAATTCAATATAAAAATCTAACACATCTCAATAATATTTGAAATCATAGCAAATTAAAAATTACAAATAAATTCACTAGAATTTAACAATTCATTCAAAATTCAAGGTTATGATAATTTATCGTTAATATAATAAAATTAAATTCATTCAGAATTAAGATTGTGCAATTTAAGTATCACAAAATATTATTAAATTCACTAAAATTTTCAGAAATATATTCTAACTCAATCAAACAATTTAAAGTTAAAATTTGAAAGCCTCGATTCTCGTATGAAATCATTTGTTAATTTTTTCATTTTCATGATTCTTTATTATTTCCAAAATGATTCGAAATCCTTGAAAACGATTCGTGATGAAAAATCGAGTTGAATTCTGAAAGAAGCTGTAGCAGGCTGTAGTCACATTCGTGAGGCTACCTACACGAGCAGGCCCCGAGGGACCGACCGGTCTGGCCATATTAGTCCACAGAGTACACGAGGAGGCTGACGTCACCGAAGGGTCGCGTTCTCCTGCTGCGACATAATGTCCTAGACGTTTCACATCTACGGCTACCCTATCGTCAACTAAATACCGTTTTCCAAAGATCTACGTGATTTTACCGACCGATTGAAAACTGGTCACGTACCAAGTGGTTCCTTAAGTGGCATCCAACGAAAAGGTGACTCAATGAAAGACCTTGTTCAGTAAGGGAATCGACCTTATTTTAATTGGAAGAGTAGGTTAACGTGGAATTCCTTTTGTCTAAATAAAAACTATAAATAATCAATTTCTTTTGTTTCACTATTATAAAGATTGTATTATTGAAATCTTCATGTGATAAAGTTGTAAAATGGAATTTTTTTATTAACGTTAGTGTCGATAATAATAATTTAGATAAATAATTTCATATATAAAATTAAATAAGTTTGATTTATCTATCTAGATTATTCTTTTTTTTTTTTTTTTACTTTTAATTTAGATATCATACTCTGAGGAATAGACTGAATGTTAAACGTTCGAAATTTTAATCGAGCCAATGGAGGACGTACACGAGGAAAATCGGTTGAGAAATCGAACGGTACTTCGAAGGAACGAGTCGCCGGGTAGAATTTCTCGTTGACTTCCGGCTGCAACAAAGTTACGAAGACGTGACTGGCCGATCAAATCGTCATCGTTGTCTAGTCTATTTATGGAAATCGTTCTACGTGTCATCCTCTAATGAGCATTTTGTTAACATTGTGAAAGTTCCAGCATTTTGTACGTGATTCAGGCGTAAATCTTATTTGATAAATCCATTCTCTGAGCTCTGAATGAATCATCAAAAAATAGATAATAAGAAACAAAATGCATTTTTAATTGCTTGAAAATGACCATTTTGTTTTTTTTTTTTTGCGTCTCTCGTAAATTTAATTAACTTTTTCCTTGGTTTTCAATCAATTTTCCTCTTCAATTTTTGGAAAATTAATTATTTTATATAAGAGATTCTTTAACATTAAATATCATCAAATAGTTAATCTTCGTTACGATATATTTTAATCCATTGATAATAACTACTGATAACTTAAGATACAAAAACGATGTAAAATGATTGTGAAATGAAAAAAAAATTATTATAACAATTTATAAATAAAATGTTGCATAAGATATATTAGCTACGATACGATAAATTATCGTCTCAAAATGAGAAGTAAACAATTTTAGCATTTTTTCTTTCATATCTATTAATATATTAATTATACATTACAGGTTGATAATTATAGCATTAATCTCGAACAAAGAGAACAATAGTTTGCCTTTTAGAGGAGCAGCATTCACCATAGAAATACCGATCAACCTTATTTGTGCAAGCTGGCAAGGCTTTACCAACGTTCTACCAGTGCACGTGCAGGTTTACACGTATGAAATGTCAGAACAACGGGTGGATTGATTGTTTAAACAAGCATTTAAGCGTCTCGAAGGTGTCGCAAAGTCTCGACTATTTCCTCGAAGGTTGACCAAGGACGGGTACCGCAAGGATCTGAATAGAGAAGAAAGAAGAAAGTCTGTACATATACAAACGTTAGTTACAAAAGTAAGTGTACTACATAATACAAGAATAATAAAATTCTCAATCTATTGGTTATTCGTTAATAAGTTATTAACAAAAATTTTTCTTTAAAATAATGTTAAGTTTTAATCAGTTTATTAGTTATTAGTATAAGTTCATTAAATGAACTTTTATTTGATTTTGATTTAAGATTGGAATTATAGAATAGACATAAACAAAAATTTAATTAATTTATAATTTCATGGTTTATATTAAATTTGGATTAAATTAGATCTAACCTAATCTAATCTAAACTGTTTTTGTTAATAACTTTTTAATGAACAACGATCGCCAAATAAAACTTTACAATACTATTCACTGATGATTATTTTCACTATTAAAAAATCAAAATGATACCTTATAAATATTTATCGAAAATATTTTTTATCAATGTACAATTTTTGTGAACTTTTTTCAAGAAGAATCTTTTAACCTAGAGAGAATGAGATAAACATTGAAACAGGAGCTATTCAAAACAACAAACAAAACAATTATGGTCTCGTTATATCTGGGTGTTCGCGTTTAAAATTTCCATTTCCTTTGTCCCCGCGTTTTCCTATTTACATTTTTCTATTAACGCTTGGCCGCTTGGCAACATGTTGCTTCCTTTTCTTCTTCGTGGAAAAAAAAGGCAGAGAGGGAGGGCAAGGGGAGGAAGATGGGAAGAAAGATGGAAGAGGGGACGATATGATTAATATTAATGGTAAGACGGTGAGCGTCAATCGAATTATGTATACGTAGTTATACGGAGGCTTGTTTACTCTAGGCCGTGTCTAACGAATCGATTCGTTAAGTCTTCTTGGATGGTTGCTCGTGGAAGGCGCTTTAACAGCTCTAGCGTTACTTCTCGGGTATACTAATCGTCTGAAAGGGTTCTGGCCTTGTTGCGAACAAAGTCAGACTACTAGAACACGGGAACTGTAAAGGAATTTAAATATTACTCAATGTGGAAATTTAAATTTTATCAAATTGAAGCAAAAATTAAAATTTAAATTAAATTGAAATCTTTGAAATTCTTCTATAATCGTTCTGTAAATCGTTGATGAGACGAAGCTTATCGATAATATTAATTTTTTTTAGAATCGTTCATAACTCATGCGATTGGAAAAAAGGAGCAACGAAAATGAAGGCATTCGCTGGTTCTCCGGCCAAGCTACCGGTCGGACAAGTCGTAGCTCGAGGCTTCTAGAACAAAGTACATGAACGAGAATAATAATATTCGAGAAAGATTTTGATAATACCTTGATTTGATTAGATTTTTATTTTTCGAAACAGGGAAATTATTGATTGCAAATCTTTGAAGATGGAAATTTTCCGCCATTTTCCGTATTTTGGGGGTTGGACCGAAGGGATGCTGCGCAGATGTGATACTTTCATCTACACAGAGGGTAGAGCAATGCTCTGATTGGATCAGTATCCCCTGTTCCAGAGGGTTGTTACTTCCCTCTCCTTCAATCTAGATACGGATATGGTGCATCCTCCATTTTATAAAACTGTGAATATCTCTACCAGTATTATTTCATACTCCATTAAAAATTCTTCTAATTCCTCTAAGAATAAATCAGTATATCAGATAATCCGGCAGACGATATTTAATTATAATTTCATTTACAGGAAAGCAATATCAAAAAGTTTCAAGAAGAAACGACACAACCTCTGAGTAGAGTCATATCGACTGATAGAATTGAAAATCCTCTTTAAGAAAGGCTTGGAATTGATCTTTGGAGCCTGGACAGAGACGCAAAGATTCAGGGACGACGACTGCGCAGGATTTCTCTCGCGATGCGGCGGTGTGTCGCGGCGGTGGCTGGCCAACCCCTGAGGGCAATGGCAAAGGGTGGCAGAGGCGAAGGGTGCGGTCTTTCCTCGTAATCAATACCAGTGTCGGCTGGCCTCGCTCCTCGCCGTTCTCACTCGCCGCCCACGCGAAATCCTGCAGACACCGGCTGCCACGCCACGAATTTTTCTTCTTGTCGTCACCGCGCGCCGCCGCCCCCTCTTATCGGCTTTTGTCGTCGCGTCGTTGTCGTGACGGTGTCTGTCCACCCTATTCCCTCTTCTCGCCAAATAATGTGGATCATTGTCGAGATGTCTACTCATAAGGCGAATAGATTGCGGATTTGTATGCAAATACAGTGGAACATCTGTAACTCAAACCTCGTCGATAAAAGAAGAATCTTATTTTAATTTAAAGATTAAAAGAGAAAGTTTAGAAATCAAAATATTTCGATACCTGTTTTTTTGGAGAAACGTGTGTATTTCTTATGTCTTACGTTCAAATTCTCCATTATGTATGCAATCATTCAAAGGAACGATATATCATTCGCAGCATATGTATATGTCCATGTATACATTACAGTTTGAAGAAGATTCAACGCACTTGCATAGTCTATAAATACGCAAGACACAAAGCCAGAGTTGCAGAAATAAGAGAAACGCGAGCGAAGCGGGTGTTGGTTCTCCTCGAGGGCGCTTCCTGAAAGGCGAGCCGTTAATTGTATAAATGATTCTCACGGGAGGATCGTAATTATACCGCTCGCGCATTCCTTAGCCACAGCTCCAAAGGCAGCGAGCGTAAACGTAGATGCGTGAGAGTGCGTACACGCGAAACTCGGCCGTGTGTTGCTTAAATCATTAATTAGTGCCGCACGCGCTACGCTCCACCGTTGAAAACTAGAATTTCGCACGGAGCCCCACTTCGAAACGTTACCACAATGATTAAGCGTTGAATAATTGCCTGATTCTTTTGCTGTCGGTTGTATTCCGTTTAGAGTTTCAACGTTATCTTTTTTTTCCTCTCTTGAATGACGTATAAATTTACAAACCTAATGTAAATCGTGTTATATTTTCGCGTGTACGTAGTATATATTCTAACCTCAATTAAATGGAATAAAAATCTTTTTAGTACGTTTGAATTTTGAACGTACTGAAGTAATCAAGTTTTTGTGTTGAAACATAATGATTTTATATTTCTAAAAATAAAATTAAAAGTTAATAATCGTAATATTGTTTCGTCAAATAAACGTGAGAATATTCATGACGAAGATAACGTTAATGGCGGCCCAATTTCTAACGAGTCATGCCGTGTAAAAAAGGATGCGGCGTAAGCACGTTCGCAATCATCGATGCTACTCTTCTGAATTTTTTTCTTTTCTATTTCTCGTGCTAAATGCGTATTCTGTTTATTCCTTATGAGTAGGAGTTAATTTTATTGTAAACAGCCTGACAGTGAAATATGCAGCGATGCGGCGTTGCCAAATAAACGTACATATAAAAACACACGAAAATTTTGCAGCGAATGATTCGAATGAAAGAAACAAAATTATATCGCGATATATTGAAACATATTTTTACAATCACCTCTTGAAGATTTTTGCCTTCAAACTTTTGAAATATTCGTATCGCCATATTGAACATAGAAATGTCCATGAGCGCTATAATTGGTAAGAATTGCACTTTATCAACAGCGCAAAAATTATTTCTTGCGTACATATTTGCTCCATCTTACAAATCATTAAAACTCTCTTTATTTTTACTCCTTTTGTTAGGGCTGCTTTTTATTCTGTGTAATATTCACACTTGTCATCTGCGATTTGCATTTGGTGACGCTTTCAAGGTATTCTCTCTCGTGTTGACATTCGAATGCATTTCGCATCGTGGCTACGTGCAATTCTCTGCAACACATCTCCGTGATTATTCCGATGTTGCATTATAGTGAACAAATCACACTTTATTGAGATTGCACAATCTGTTGGCGCCTATCGTCAACGAAATAATTTAATGAGAATGCATCTCTATATCGCAGGCTACTGACCGGCCAAATTGCCTAATAAAAAATTCTTCGTTAGTTTAAAACTGCTACAAATAACTCAATAAATTTATTATTTTTGTCTTGTTTATTGAAAATTATATTTTGAATATTGAAAAAATACTAAGGAAGAATTAAATTTTAACTCTGAATATATAAAAACAGTATTTATAATAATTATTTTATGTATATTTTTTTTATTTTTTAAAAATATCTTTTATGTAATTGTATCAACTATAGTACTAATTCTAAACATATGAAGAAAATGAAGATTTGATATATCATGCATCGATAAGAAAAGTTCATAATTTTCTACCTTACCACTTCAGTAACGAAAATAAGGACTACACAAAGAAAAATCGATAGAGGGCGGGCAGGTTTAAATGACTACCATGGTTTTCGGAAGCTGTCGGTAGTTTTTATTTCGCGTATTCCGCGACTGAGACAATTGGAGGGTCGAAATGTCAGAAATTCGATGGGAATCAACGAATGTGTGTAATGTCAGTTACAAGTGACGTATTAGCGCTTCCCGCGGCGCGTTCTTCACG